TTAGCAAATATCTGTCTTCAATTTTTAAATAGATAAGTCCTATACAAGCTAATATAAAAAAGTAATTTTCTTATACAATTTAAAATGTTTTTTTCTACTAATGTTCAGCAGGCTTTGAGATCTACAATGTAGAGAGTGAGTATTGGCTTTTATCACTATTCCTCAGGCACATAATAGAACTATAGTGACTATTATTAGTTCTCTAGAAATGGAGGGTTACATTCTTAGTTCTACAGATGGGGGACAAGATGATATATAAAGATTCAAGCCAATTTGTGATTTTTAATGGAATTAATTCAGGCTTTTGAATCTGTTCCCTAATGAAGTGCAATCTTCTTTCTATCTCAGTTGCTTTGTTCTACCTAACTCTGAATATAACTCATGAGGCGAAAATAATTAAATGCTCAGTAGGATTCATTTCTATCAGGATTTCTTAGGCTTCCACTTAGCCTACTGATTTTAGTCAAAAACTACTTCTGGAAACCTTGCATTTTCACTAGCATCCCATACTACCTCCAATTACCACTGTGTTTTCTTCAGAATCCCACCTCTCCTTCCCAGTTCTTCTCTGAGATATGCGACCTCTTTCTATTGGAGAATATGGCAGGTGTAATAATACTGAGGGCTGAACAAGTGTTATTCAGCTCAGTTTCTGAAATCCTTATGACTAAGGTGACATCTATTAGGAGTGTTACAAAGCATAGCCTTACCATAATAATAAAAAAGTTATTTTATGAATAATGCTTAGGTGTGCCATCACAAGAAGGCCTGAGTAATTTTTTTTTTCTTAATCCAGATTTATACACCTTATGATTAGTGCCAATTTCTTTTGGCCTTAAATATTATGAAAGCCATAATTTTAGGTACTGTTAGGAGTTTTCATGTTTTATGCAGTGACTTCACAGGCATTTTTTTAAGTGAAGATATCTTGTTCTTTTTATTTAAACATTATATATTAATTCAGTAGCACATGTATATAATGTATTTAAAAAATAAAATTTATGACTGAATAAATGTGTTGTAGTTTGTCTGAATTTTATCATTACTGGATTCACAAACAAAAATGGGGACACTGTTGTAAATTACAGCTTTATCAAGTTTCTCTCACTTGTCTAAGGCAGTCTTACTCAAAGTATGTTTTTCAAATTGACATCATTTGTCAACTTTTTGTTATGAATCCACAAAGAAGTAATGCAGAAATTGGGGTAAACATTTACAAATGCTGATAGAAACTTACATTGGCACAATACTCAAGGATGTGGTCTTTTCTTCAGAATTCTTTTCTCACACAAGTATTTTTCTATGAAGAATAGTTCATAGCACTGGGGGAAATAGTCTTTCAACAAATATAGTTTGAGAAGTACTCTCTGAGAGCTAGCTATCACTACTCCCGTGATGTTTTATTCCGTTTTCCTGAGTGAACCTTCATGTTTTGGCCCCCCATTAGTTCGATGTTTATCCCTCATTATTTCGATTTTTATCTCCAAAGTGCTCTCTCTCAGTTAATCCAGCCCAATTTTGCACTTTCCCCCATCATCCCAAAATCTTACCCTGAGCTATCAGGATCATAGGTTTTGTCATCAAGACTCCCCTATATTCTCAGTCTCTTTTCTAAATTTTTACAAAACAATATTCACCCACCTCTGCTGTTTCACCTTCTAAACTACTTTGCTCCTTCAATTATTCTGTCACTTTCATAAGAATTCTGTGTCTTTTTTAATTTTTTCCCATCAATGTGAAAACATGCTCTGATCTTCTCCAATCCAAATGTATCTCTATCTTCCCTTCTATCCATCCATTTTATACTTTATCTACATTCATCAGTTTATCTATTCTGATGCCATGTCTCTTTGCAAACACTGCCTCATTCCGCTTTTCCCTTTCATAAAAATAATGAAGTTTGAACAAATAGTCTATTCTGTGTGCACTCCCTCATTTTCTCTTCCCTCACCTCATCCCTACTGCTTTTGTTAAGGAAACCTGTGATATCCGTAGCATTTAGTGTAAAATACCACTTCCTGTTCTTAAATCAGTGCATTCCTTTGTATTCTCCTTTATCTATTGCACTTTATTTTCTCATAACTTATTGCCTCATTTTAATGTCTAGAGCTGGATTCTTCTTTAATGCCATTTGATTCCAGGCAACTGAGTGCCCCAGTGCTCAGTCATCAGACACAATCCCCTTCTCTGAATTCATCTTCCTTGGGTATCATCGTTCAGTTGTATGACAACACTTACCATTCATTTGCTGAGACTCCCAAAATCTATGTCTAACGTTGTACCTGAAATTCAGATTTATGAATACTATAGCTTACTAGACATCTCCACTTAGATAACTAATATAGGTGTTCATTTCAAGTGGAATTCATGTTTTTCTCCCCTGAATGTGTTGCTCCCCATGCTTCACTTTCTTGAAAAATGACACCAACACTCACTCACTTTAGTTGCTTAAACTAAAAGTTTTAACCAACAATCATTATTCCATGTTTTCTTCCTCCTTTCTTTCGGCTAACATTTTCGGCCTTATTTTCAAATACTTTCACTTATTTTCCATAGAACCACTAGCATATTTGGCCTGACCATATGTTTGGACCAGACTACCAAATTAGGCCAAGTATTCTTTCCATTCCGTATGTAAGCACTCTTCTTCCTCCAATCTCCTGGCATCAGTTAGAATGAACATTTGAAACATCCCATATTCAAGAATCTAAAGCCCAGTAGAAACTTTTCTCTATATTTATAACATTTAAATGCTTTTTAGTGACTTACAAGCATTTAGTCCTGCTTCTCTATCAGAAGTCACATTAATAATTCTGCCCCATAGTCGCTATAATTGGCTTTCTTTTAGATAACACAGAACAGTTGTATTTACTGCTTCTTTTGCCAATAACATTTCTTCCCCTCAAACTTCAAATGGTTGGTTTCTTGGTATTTATGTCTATGTAAAAGCTCCAACTCTAACAGGTTTCTGTCCCAAACAATCAATTTAAAGGTACTTCCCCATTGTTTAATGTCACAATACTTCAAAATTCATCCAAACATGAATCTCTAATAATATTATTCTTGTTTTGTGTTATAATTTTTTTCTTGTTAATGGTCTGTACATCCCTTCTCAAATAAAATGTATGTCCAGAAGTTAGTCTTATTATGTCCCATAATTACAATAGGGCTTAAAAATATAGGAGACAATTAATAAATACTTTTTGAATCAATGAAATGTAGAAGCAGCTGGATTGACAGCTATTTGATACTTACTGAAAGGTTTGGGGTGGGCCGGGGTCGTGACCTATGACATGTGGCCATAATGTATCAAAATAACTTTTATTTCAGGCACCTGGGTGCAGGTGGGCTGAGTCCGAAAAAGGAATCAGCAATGACTGAAAGGGGAGGCAGACTTTTATTAACCGCTGCTGGCTACAAACAGTTTTGCTGGCATAAGGGTCTGGTCCCCTCTTGGTTTGGAGATGTCTAGTGGTTATCTGGGCTATGCCAAGCTCAAGGCTGCAAGCTTGCTGCAAGATACCTGCTAAGCACAGTAAGTTTTCTCTGCCCCATTTTCACTTACCCAATGATTAATAATTGTTTTCTTTTTTATTTCAAATTGTATCTACTCTGTTTACCAAGACAGGAAAGATGGGGAAAATGATGTTGCATAATGATCTCTGGCAGGGAAATAAAAATAAATAAAATTATATAAGATATCAAACATAGATTTTAAAGTGCAATTATTATAAACAAGAAATATGCTTTAATAGAGTTTGCAGTTTCAAAGAGTTAAAATTAAAATATATATATATTTTTACAAATTATTTGCTTTTCAATTCTAAAGACATGGGAAGAGACTAAGTTTACTGACAAAGCAAAAAGTAAAGTAATTTAATTAACCAAGCTAATTTAGATGCCTTTAAAAAATGCCAAACTATATGTTACTACTTTTTAATTACAATTAATCTATTTCTGAAGTTCTAATTAAATGCCTGGATGATAAAAATGTTTTTGTTTTAGTTTTTAAGGAATTAGTGATTGTTTCATTTACTATAAGACTGAAAATGCACTTGGAGAAAAACTATTCCAGGATTCCATAACAAAGTACTAGATATTGAGTGATAATGCAATGTAGACATTAAAATATGTGTGTATTGCTTTAAAATGTATGTGTGTTGCATTAACTATGTTCTCTTAAAATTCCATAAAAATATTTTTCCAGTTTAAATTGGCATGAATATTTTAAATTTGGGTTTGGGAACTTCTTTTGCAAGTCAGAAACTGATATTAGTACCTATTATTATTATCATTACCATTAATTATTAAAACTATACATTATTTTATCAGAAAAAAATAATAATTGCCACTTCTCAAATTATAATTATAGATGTCATCTATAATATTACATTTTACGCTCAGCAAATCTACCTCTAATTGTCTGTACTAATATATTCAGATATCCAGTAGAATGTGAATGTGAATATGTGAAGACTTTTCTTCAAATCATTCTTGTCTGTCTATGCTTCATTGAGAAGGAAACCCCTATTTGTAACAAACTGCTGTTTGGAATTTTCTGCTGTTATTCTTAGATAAAATGTTGCTTTCTAGTCTGCTTTAGCCTGTTTGAAGAATGATGATAATAAACTTAGCTGTATGACCTTGTAGGCCGGAGACTAGATATGCCCATAATCTTAATGCCATGCCAGGTGCATTTTTTAATTGGATAGAATTGTATTGTTTTCAAGGCCAGCATTGAGATAACCACTAAATGCACATAGGGCTGGCTCTTTAATAGAAAGGGAAGTTCTGCTTGTAGCTTTGCTTAGAATTTGAAATCATTTTCTCTAAGCCCATCATGTGATGAATAAACTAAGTCTCTCCAAACTCTCCTTCTGCATTGTTTGATTGTTCAGGAACTCTGTAACATACTTTGGTGCATTGGCCGGGAAGCAGCCCATGCAGCCCTTTTAGCTTCTGATGGGTGGACCGGGTTTGGGGCCCAGGACGTTGGACAGGCCTCCGGAAGGCGCCTCTCTGCTGATTTAGCAGAATTAAACCGGGGGACTTTGGGCACTCCTGGACCTCAGCCTGGGACCCGGCCAGCATTTGGAGAGAGTGGACAGGCACTTCTGGACCTGTCGGCAGAATCTGTAAGGTAGGGGCCCCGTCTGTTCAGCCCACTCGAATGAGTGGAAGGGGGAGCTTGATCACCTCCCCGGAGGCCTTAGAGCTTCCTCAGGTAAATTAATCAGGAGTCAGGAATCAGGTGATTGTTTAAACTCTGGGTAAATATCTGGTAGAAGTAAAAAACTTGGACTAGCTAGTATAAAAATGTGGGACTTTGGATGTGAATGAAGGAATTGTTCATTCACATCCAGTAACAGATGAGTTCATTCTGCTGTGTGTTTGTGTGGGACTAGCCAATCTGTTACTGAGAAGTGGGACTGGATGCAGTCTTAACTCCTCTGGTAGTTCCTCACCAAGACATTGGTCGAGAATTCTGTTTTGGGGGTGCTTAGAGTGCCCCCAAGCCCGCCTGGGGAGTTGGGCATTGTGTTTATCTGCTCAGCTTCAATCTGGGCTAGTCTACTGAGAGAGTGTGAGTTTGGATGTTTATCTGCCTTGGTAGATAAATGGTCTGTGTGAAGTGAAAACTGCTTTATTTGTTATCCTTTCTGTTGTTTAAATTGTTTAGAGATAGGATGATGATGGTCTGCAAATGTCTTAAGCAAGCACTGCTGAGTTATTTTTCTCAGAGATGTTTGCTCTCTATCACAGTGAAGGGAATCAGCCCATTTAGCTAATAAAAATTTCTCTGTGTTTATAAGTTTGTATAAGTAAAGGTTTTAGTTTGCTCTGATTTGTAAATTTGCTATATTAAATTGAAATTTTAAAGTCCTAGAGTTAAGTTAAAGGTATAAATTTGTGACATTTCAAGGAACAAAGAACTTTTATTTATGGCTTTATTGTCTCTTTGGTAATTGGAGACTTTTAGAGACAGGGCTTACAGCTCCGCAGGTCGGAGAGATTTACAGTCCCTGTCCCTGCCTGTGACATCATAGTCCAACGTAGAACTAAAGCTGAAGTTATTATTAACTATCTATAGACCCCGAATTCTAATAGCATCTGTAACTGTATTAAAGATCTTTTCTTTCAGGAAGCCATACGCTTCCTCAGGCAAATTAATCAGGAATTGGGTGGATTGTTGTTTAAACTCTGAGTGAATGTCTGGTGAAAGTGTGTGAGTGTGGAGGGAGAGGGCCTGCCCTCTCTTATCCTTTGTGTGGCTCCACGACTTCGGTTACGGAGGCCGAGTGGGCCCCAACCTGCGGTTCCGCTATTCGTCATAGGGCATAACGGTGACTCACCCCCACGTGGAGGTGACCAGGCCCGGGGTGCATACGGGTGCACCTTAGCTAAGACGAATCTAAGCTCCCAAGGGACGCGGCCAGGCCGGCATCTGAGTGAGGATCTGTCTTGCGCCACCAATCATCATGGGGTTGGGACAGAGTAAACCCACTGTTCTCAATTGCATGTTGAAAAATTTTTAAAAGGGATCTGATGAAGATTATGGAATTAAAATTAATTCTGAAACACTGAGGAAATTCTGTGAAGTAGAAGGGCCAGCCTTCGGGGTTGGCTGGCCCTCAGAAGGCTCTTTAGATGAAGGATTGGTCAGGGCGGTGTGGAATGTAATCACAGGAGATTCTGGGAACCCAAATCAGTTTCCCTACATAGACAGCTGGTTAGAAATTGCTCAGACCTTGCCGCCTTGGGTCCGGTTCTGCGAGTGCAAGAAGGGACAGAGTAAGGTTTTAGTAGCAGGAGTGAAGAGGCAGGCAGGGCAGGAGTAGGCTAAGGAGAGGCAGGCAGGGACATTAGACACAGACAGATGGGCAAGGGAGGCCCTCCCTGATGAGGAACCTAATTGGTCCCCAAACTCAGAAGACGGAAAGACCAAGCTAAAAAGATACCGGCTGGCTTTCCTCCAGAGGGTCAGGGCCAAGCCAAGAAGCCCATCAATATGGCTAAAATCTCTGAGGTTTTCCAAGAAGCCTGATGAAAGTCCAGCGGCTTTCTATGAGAGACTATGTGAGGCATACCAAATCTACACTCCCTTTAACCCTAAGGCCCCAGACACTCAAACCATGGTAAATGCTGCCTTTGTAAGCCAAGCCCAGCCTGATATTGGAGAAAATTACAGAAGCTGGAAGGATTTTTCAGGAAAAAAAAAAAAATGCTAGTGAGCTGCTAGAGATAGCCAACAGGTTTTCATTAACCAAGACAGGACAGCAAAACAGGAAGAAGAAGAAAAAAAAAAAAAAAAAAAGCAAAGAGGGGCCAATGTGATAGCAGAGGCTTTCAGAGGTTTAGGCCCCCAAACAGCCCAGAAAGGAAGAGCAAGTCTGAGACGGGACCAGGGTGCCTATTGTAAAGAAACAGGGCACTGGAAGAATGAATGTCCCAAACAGAGAGTAAGAAATTAAGGTCCCCTTTTCCACCCAATCGCTATCAACCAGAACCACCTGAAGCAGACCTTATTGGCCTGGCAGCAGCTGACTCTGACTAGGACAGACCTGGCTCTTTTCAGCTGGGCCCCCACGAGCCCATGGTCAGAATGAAAATTGGGGGCCAGAATGTGAACTTTCTGGTTGATACAGGAGCCAAGGAGCAGTTTACCTGGACCAGACTTCCATAAAGATTTAAAAACTCCCCTAGTCTCTTTAGTGGAGCACTAGCATCTGATTTATCTAAGTTCCCAGGACAGGATTTGGGATGTGTTCTACTCCAGTATGTAGACACCTCCTACTAGCCAGTTCCACACTAGCTCAGTGCTGGGAAGGGACAGGAGCCCTACTGAGACTATTAACTGATCCCAGGATTTTCAGATCTGGCCAAGCCCCTCTATGAAGCTTTAAAAGGGAAAGAGAAAGCACCCATTGTATGGGGCCCTGAGCAGGAGAAAGCCTTCATCAGCATAAAGGCAAAGCTTACTGAGGCCCCAGCACTTGGATTACCAGATGTGACACAGGACTTTAATCTCTTCATCCATGAGAACAATGGGGTAGCCTTAGAAATTCTAACCCAGGAATTTGGACCTTGGCAAAGACCAGTAGCCTATCTCTCCAAGCAGATTGACCCAGTTGCCTCCGGGTGGCACCCCCTGTCTCAGGGCCTGCTGAGGGGGCCCTGAACATGACTGCCTGGAAGTCCTAGAGGAGGTTTACTCTAGCCGGCCAGATCTAATGGATAGGCCCCTGCCAAACCCGGACTTGGTATTGTTCACAGATGGCAGCAGCTTCTTAAATGAAGGAAAAAGACGAGCTGGGTGTGCAGTAGTATCAGACTTTGAGACAACTGAAGCACAGGCCCTGCCTGAAGGATGGTCAGCACAGAGGGCAGAACTTTGGGCCCTCGCTAGAGCTTTGGAACTCAGTAAGGATAAGCGTGCCAACATCTACACTGATTCACGCTATGCCTTTGCTACCCTGCATATTCATGGGGCTATATACAAGGAAAGGGGGCTCCTGACAGCAGGAGGAAAAGGAATAAAAAAATCAAAATGAGATTTTAAAACTACTAGAAGCAGTTTGGGTGTTGGACCCCCCGAAGGAGACCCCTGCCCTGACCCAGGATCAGCGACGACCCAGTCAAACGCAAGAGACGGCACTTGATGCAAATAGCAAGAGGATTTATTCCAGCATGCTGGGACCTGACCTGTTACTCGCGCAGGAGCAGCCAAGTCAAGTCCCGAGCAGAACTTCTTACAGGCTTATAAAGGCAAAAACCGCAAAGTTAGAACAAAGGACAAGGGGAGGGGGTCTTCCAGAAAGAGGGACAGGAATTCCTTGAGGGGAGGATAGACATTATCACAAGGAACAGGGTGGAACCGCCTCAGGACGTTGATAATACATCCAGTTTACTACCTCTAGGGGCTGAGTCAGGTGGCCAGGTGCTGTGTGGCTCATACCCTGTTTTTCCTGGGGCAGTTCTAAAGGTCACATTCTCACGGGAAGTCTGGGCTAGCAGGGGAATTTTTCTATATTATTTCTTTCAGCCTCTACATTCCCCTCTTTTTCTTTTTGGTAAGTTCTAATCATGGAACTTCTGTCTCTACATATCCTTCTCTGAGGCTATCTCCCTGACTGAGGGACTGGTAGTGCTGCCTGAGCATTATTACCTGTAAAGCACTTATTCTCTCCCTGATGAAGCTGATTAGGTGATTCCTTGTCTAAGAGAAACGGGGAAAGGCACAAGGAGTTATTCCGTTGGTATAAGCCCACCAAGTCCCTTCAGGGGCAGCCAGCAGGGCTGCTTCTCCTCGAGATGGCTCCTCCGGTAGCAGGATGGTGGAGGCGCAGGACGAGGCGTAAAAAGAGTCCTTCAGAGGGTAATTTGCAGGCATCAAGCACATCCCTTGTCCTTGTAGATCCCAGAGAGTAAGTTTCGGGTTACAACTCCACTGGCAGTGACCCTCCGCAGTGTCCATGGAGATGTTTCTTCCTGTGGGGTATCTCCAAGAAAGATGTTAATAGCAATCCCAACAGTCATTTGGGATTAGGCTGGGGTGAGTCCTTGGACAGTGAACTTCTTTACCCACACTGAGTCTCCGGGCTGGAAGGGGTGTACAGGGTCCACGGTGGGCACTGGCAGTGTATCTGGAACAAGCTTACGGGTGGCTCTCTGGGTTAACTGCAGAGCTTATAAGGACTTGAGCAAGGGAATAGTTATGAATTCCAGCTTTCAGTTTCTCCCTGACCCCAGGATGAATGGAGGGAGGTCTACCATACACGATCTCAACAAAGGGGGGGGGGAACCTCTCCCGTTAGAGAGTACACCTGGCCCATAAGAGGGTGAAGGGCAGGGGGTTGGTCTAATTTTCACCGGTTTTTAGGACAAATTTAATTAAACTTTTTAGAGTTCTACTCATGCCTGTCCTAAGGCTTGAGCTATACTTTGAGATACCTTGCTACAAAGGCTGGGCTGTTATCTGATCCTATAACTACTGGCAGCTCGAATCTAGGTATGATCTCCTGGAGTAATTTCTTGACTACTACAGAGGCACTTTCTATCCTATGTTTCAACCTAATCTGAGAAGGTGTCTATAAAAACTAGCATGTACTTGTACCTTAATGCTGGTGGCTTAATCTCTGTGAAACCCACCTTCTAATGCTCTCCAAGGGAATTTCCCTGGGGCCCGAATTCCCAGGGGGTCCCTCTATTCTTGCTTAGCATTTACCTATATCTGCCTCACAGAAGTTTAGAAGTCTTGATGATGCCTAAGTGGGTAACCTGGCTTGACTGGGCAACTAACATTCAACTTAGAGCCTCTGGGACCAACAGTCTGTCATCTGGTAGGGTCCACCAACCATCTGGTCCTTTGATGACTTGCTTCTGTTCAGCCAATTCCTCCTCTTCTTTGGTGTAGAGGTTGGGATCCGGCAGGGTTACTAAGACTTGTAAAGGCCCCACTGGTTTTTGGGCATCTTCCTTTGCAGTTTGGTCTGTGGCTCTATTTTCTCTGGCTTCAATTGTCTCCCCTTTCTGATGTCCTTTGCAGTGCATTATTGCAACTGCTTCTGGGAGTCAGATGGCCTCAAATAAGGCTAAAATCTGGCTGGAGTTGGTAACCCTCTTTCCCAGTGAATGGCACAGTGTCCGCATCAAAGGGCCTCAATTAGGGCCAAAGGTTTACTGATATTCCTCTGTTCAGGAACTGTGCCCAAATGGTATGGTCCAGGGTGACTACTGCTGTTCCTGTATATCAGATCCCATCCTGAACATAACTGCTCCCATCAGTGTACAGTACCTCATCTGGTGATGATGGCAGGACATCTGTCAGTACTGCGTCTGTTACCTGTATGCAGTCATGAATGGGTTCCTCTGGATCATCTGGAAGCAGGCTGGCAGGGTTGATGGCCAGTGTCTTATGGAACCGGATGCAGGTCTGGTCCAGGAGAAGAGCTTGGCATTGGGTGATTCTGGTGTTTGACATCCATCTCTCTGGAGCACCCGAAGGGGGGTCTCAGCGGCATGGGGTGTTGTCAGGGCTAGCTCCTGGCCCAGAGTCTGCTTTCACCAGCAATGCTGTGGTGGCCACTGCCCAGAGGCACATTGGCCACTCTGCTGCCACAGGGTCCAGTCTCTTAGACAGATAGGCCACAGGTCTCTTCCAGGGACCTAGAGTCTGAGTGAGAACCCCTTGGCAATGCCTCTTACCTCACTCACGTAAAGGTGGAAGGGCTTCGTGACATCTGGCGAGGCTAGGGCAGGTGCTGAGACGAGAGCCTTCTTTAGCTCCTCAAAGGCCTGTTGTTCTACTTCAGTCCAGTTCAGCGGCTGTGTTCCTCCAGTACGTGTTCCTTCTTAGGTCTACAGTCCTTCTTGATGTCCAAGGAAAACAGTTTGTCTGGTGGCTCCCTGGACTGATATCTTCCTAAAGGTCCCATTGGCTCTGTCAAGACTGAATAAACTGCCCAGTGCTCACCAGGAAATTAATAGCTTTGCCTCTCACTTGTAAGGTTACCCTTGGGGGCTTAATTGAAAGGAACCCTGGTCCTATCAGTCTTCTTCCTCGAGGTTAAAAACCCTTGGAGTCTAAGTCTCTCTTTCTTTCAGACCTTCTCTGTCTCTTCTGGCCTCACCTTCTGTACTTATACTTACACATTCATATCACTTTCTCTTCTGCTCTTTCTTTCTGCTTCTGTCTAAATCCTTCCCTCTCAGACTCCCAGAGTCTCTTTCTTAAGTCTCTGTTTCGTTCTTTCCCTCTCTCCCAGTTTCTCCTTCTCATCACATACATAACTTTCATAAAAACTTCCACTATTTTACATTAGCTTTTAAACCTTCTTTCTATGTCCTTCAAAAATCTATAACCATACCTCAAATCTTCTATTATTTTAGAATATTTAGAAAAGGCAGAGGTAAGAGAGAGCAGGTCTAGCACTCTGTTCCCAGTAGCCGCTTGAATTTTAAACTGCCACATTCTTCCTACAGATAAAGATCTCAGATTCTGATAAGCCTGGAAAGGGGAATGGGAGAATTTCTAACTGTGCCTTTAAGTCCCCTAATAGAACACGGTGAAAAGTGTCCAAGCAGTCAAGGGGGGGTTAAACCATGTTTTCACATTGTTTTAACACAATTCTAAATAAATTATAAACCTTTGTGATGAAGTCTACTTAAATCTATAAAGTAGATACACATGACTGAAACCAAAAATGATTCCCAAAGTTTAAACAAAATACAAGATGCAGGTACAAGCCCAAATTCAAGCTTACAATGCAATTAGAAATGATAACAATGGCATATGAGAAAAGCAAAACAAAACAAATTAATATGGCTATCACTTTTTCTACATTAAGAGAAAAATATATGACTTGGCCTACTTCTTCACAAGAGGCACACTATAAATTCCCAACAAATTTACTTAGGTCTGTATGAAACAACCTGGATAGGGCTCAAGCATTATATAGATTCCTCATCTGACAAATGAGAATAAACCAATCCTTGAGATCTTTGATCATTACTGCTTATTCTTATCACATGTAATACAATTTAGCCTGCCATATTCTAGGCATTGTTACTGCAATTAACTTTTCCTAATTCAATTTATACTTTGAACTTTTAAAGCTGGCAAGTAACATTACATTTCTCAATCACAATTCATACTTAAGTAGCTATATGACTCTGCTTAGCTGATACCAATGACAAAAACTAAACATTGTAAGCAAGGCCATGGAACCACCTGCCACCCCCTGCAGATCATAGTTTCTGCCTCATGGTGGGGAATTTTAAAAGCTGCTTACAATGACTTGGGAAACCAGTTTTAATTTATCTGCTGCCTCCAGCTACTCAAACAACTCTTGGAGGTGAATGGAGGCAGGGAGCAAGCGGGTCCCAGGTGGCGAAGGCGGTGCTGCCACCAGGGCGTTTTTCATCAGACTGTCCCTCGCTTGCCTCTTGCTAGCAAAGGTGCAATGGGGGAACCGGTGACCCCTCCACTGCAATCACACTCCCTGAACTTTCTGACAAGCTCTTACTGATTTTAAAATTATAACTTGAGTTGACACACACACAAGGACCAAATGGCCCACAAAATATTTTCCTTTTCCTTTAAAGATTTTACAATGTACTGTAATCATTAATTACATTAAACTTAAATGGCTAATTGAAACAAACAGTTCTGAGACCGTTCCTCCAGCACTGATGAAGACTGGTGGAGGCAGGTGTCTGAAATAAGATTCATTTAGTTTCTGAGCTCGCTGGGCAGACTTGGCGGCGACTTTGCCAGTTCAAGCTTCTTTCTTGTAAATAGTTAACTTTAGAATTTGGTCTCTGCTTTTAATTTTTTGTACCATAATTGTTACAATTTTATACCTTCAAATCAATAAACATATTGTTAGGTGGGCTGATACCCCTCTGACAGAAAACAAAGCACCCCTGGGAAAAAGGAATCCCAGTGGCCACTCGGGGCGGTTTGCTAGCCATCAGAGCACTCAGCTTTAAACAAATTAAAGGTTTCTTTCTTTCTCTCTGCTCGCCTGTGGCCGGGCGAATAAGACGGACCTGGGAGGTCTCTTTCCCAATTTTCCTTTGTCAAAGAGACAACCACACTCCTTCAGCCATTTGGGGTTATCAAAAAGAACATCAATCCAGATATCAATGTATGGAATTTGGTCCGGATGCCCAGGGCTCCTATAGACTATCCGCCGGACCCCGTGCAGGGCCCCATGTCTAGGGTCCCTGTTGAAGGCCGATCAACCCCAAATGTCGGACACTCCAACTCACAGAGTCTCCGGAGAGTGAAGGCATCTACAGAAACGCCATAGCCTTCACCTCGTTTTTAAGTCCGGAAAATTTTTAACCATGCATTCAAGGGGACTTAGGTGACTCTCCTTTGAGTTTCCTTGTCCCATTTTTCTCTTTCTTCCCAATTTATAAACAGTTAAGCAACAAATAATTCCAAAACAAATCCAAAAGAGTAAAAACAAAAACACTTTTACCAATTCCCACACACTCAATTGCGGCCGCACTCTCTCAACACAACAACACTCATTCAGACCAGAACAATACCTGATTGCCGGGACTCGAACCCGACACCTGATTGCCGGGGCTCTAACCCGACACCTGATTGCCGGGGCTCGAACCCGACACCTGATTGCCGGGGCTCGAACCCGACACCTGATTGCCGGGGCTCGAACCCGACACCTGATTGCCGGGGCTCGAACCCGACACCTGATTGCCGGGGCTCGAACCCGACACCTGATTGCCGGGGCTCGAACCCGACACCTGATTGCCGGGGCTCGAACCCGACACCTGATTGCCGGGGCTCGAACCCGACACCTGATTACCGCACCCTTGGGGCGTCCCCCAGGGTTGCAGCCTGTGGCCCTCCGGCACGTCTACCGACCACTGTCCGGCCACTCTTACGAGTCACCGAACGGCTGCCAAACCGAAAGTGCGCGCCCAGAACCTGAACAGAAACTTTCACAGACAATGAACACGACACAGCACAGAACCAGACAGACAAACATGGGGTACCCCTTCTTACCTCCAAGGTCGGCTCCGCGGTTGAGGGGTGGCCGCCGATCCCGGACGAGCCCCCAAAATGTTGGACCCCCCGAAGGAGACCCCTGCCCTGACCCAGGATCAGCGACGACCCAGTCAAACGCAAGAGACGGCACTTGATGCAAATAGCAAGAGGATTTATTCCAGCATGCTGGGACCTGACCTGTTACTCGCGCAGGAGCAGCCAAGTCAAGTCCCGAGCAGAACTTCTTACAGGCTTATAAAGGCAAAAACCGCAAAGTTAGAACAAAGGACAAGGGGAGGGGGTCTTCCAGAAAGAGGGACAGGAATTCCTTGAGGGGAGGATAGACATTATCACAAGGAACAGGGTGGAACCGCCTCAGGACGTTGATAATACATCCAGTTTACTACCTCTAGGGGCTGAGTCAGGTGGCCAGGTGCTGTGTGGCTCATACCCTGTTTTTCCTGGGGCAGTTCTAAAGGTCACATTCTCACGGGAAGTCTGGGCTAGCAGGGGAATTTTTCTATATTATTTCTTTCAGCCTCTACATTGGGAGCCTAAGGAAATAGCTGTCATTCATTGCAA